GGGGGGGGGAGGGGAAATGTACCTGAAACGAACACGCTTGAGGTCTCTGGCTCCACAGGGTAAGGCGGTGAGAGTGATGTAAACGCCAGGATCATCTTGTTCGACCCATTCGTTCTCGCTCTCTTTTGCTCGGTTTCCTGATCTATTCGTTGTTTCGGAATTCCCTTGCTGCTGTCTGCAACTTGCCCCGGGTGTGCTGGTTCCATTGGAGAACAACGGGGTGTTCAGCTCGTTTGGCTCGGGTTCTTGTAACGTTGGTTGGCTACTTTGTCGGCCAAATAAGGAGTTAGAAGGGTCGATGTAACTCGGGCTCGAGTCAAATGAAGTGAGAGAAGGCGACTTGACGGTCCGTGTGGTTCCAACGGGTAATCTTTCAGCCAGGTCTTTCAACTGCATGGTACGTCGAAACAAATGGTGTTTAAAATCAATAAAAACGGAAAACTATCCAAAGAGAAAATCATTGATAAACGCATACAGCAATTTTTATCGGACAGCAAAGGTGAAATCTTTGAAATTACCTGAGCGGTAAGTGATTTGATGACTTCTTTGGCCGCCTTGCACCTTGCAGTTTCGTCGCTTGCGATCGTTAATGCCTCTTTTAGTTGTTTTGTCGTTCTTTCAAGCTCGACTTCTTGAAGCTGTGTCTTCCGAGTTAGGCTTTCAACCTGAGATATGGATTACTAGTTAGCAAGACAACATCTTAAGAGTAAACGTGACAACGATATAATTTAGACCATGTTCATCCATTGAAAGGTATGTGTTCCAACAATGGCTTTAATATCGTGAGTACGCTAATCCAAATTGTTGCAATTTTGGGAAAATTGTGCGAATAGTAAGATGCTACGATTAAACCACATAAAAAATATATATATACATAAGATTAAGAGAAGCAAGTTACCTGCGCTCGTAGCCTGACGACTTCTTGGTTGAGGCTGTCGTTGGTTCTCTTAACATCATCCACGACAATTTTGGGAGTGGCAAGTCCACCAAGAGTTGGAGTTGGTGTTGTTGAGCGAGGTGGGCTAGGACGTCTTGATATCGGCGAAGTTGCCCGAGACACAATCCGGGAACCAGGAACAGAGGCCGAGAAGAACTTCTTTGATGATCCAAATACTGGATTGAAAGACTTGGATATGTTTAGTGTACCCCGTTGAGAGCCTCCTCCGCTTGGTATAGGAGAGACACGGCTGCTATTGAATTCATACTTTTTGTTTTTCTTAGACCGATTATCCGCTTGTTTCATGGAGTCCAGCAACGAAACTCTAGCCAACTGCCCATCAGATCTAGAATCCAAATTCTCATCTTTGTCGATGCAATCTGATCCTTGGTTAATGCTAGCTCTTCTGCTCAGAGAAGAATGAGATGATGGATCAGTTGCCATGGCCTTCTTTAATTTGTTAAAACACTTGTCACACACTCGATATGGTTTGTTTGGATTCGGCGCCATAGATGCCTTCAGAGACTTCTTATTGCTGCATGAATGGCAAAATACTAGCCCACAGTTATAGCAATTGTGCCGCTTTCTCTTAAAATTGAAAGGCTGGCGGCAACCAGAACACATTGACTGATCCATCCCCGATGCCCACTTGTGAAGACAGACAGCTGCTGTGAAGTTAGCACCACAGGCAATATTTTTCACTTGTTTATCTTTCAGCGCCTCCACCAATGTAGGGGTATTTCTATCATCTACATCCCCATGACCTAATCTACCGTTTGATCCCTTTCCCCAAGTGTAAACCTCTGTTCTCGAAGTTAAAACTGCAACATGATAAGCACCACAAGCAATCTCTTCCACAAAACTCTTGTGAAGTTTACCTTCAACACGGGTCGGAACCTTTCCATCCGCATGTGGGTTTCCAAGCTGACCGTAAACAGGACTGCCCATAGCGTATACATGGCCCGAGGTTGTAAGTGCTACCGTGAGGCTGTGCCCACATTCAACTTGACAAAAATTGGGTTCTACAAGGGCAGCAACACAGGTAGGTACAAGTCTTGGCTCCTTATCACCATGACCGAGACGGCCCTTATCACCATCGCCCCATGTAAAAAGCTTCCCTGAAGAGCAGTTACTAGAGCTCGAGCTCCCGACCATAACTTCTACAACTGCCGCTGTGTGCCATACACCACATGCTGCACGGACAGTGCGAAGACCTTTCAAAGATTCCACTTCCCTTGGTATGGAAGCACTTTTCCTGTCTCCATGGCCCAAGACACCAAAGGTCCCATCACCAAAGGTAAACAACTGCCCAGCAGAGGTGACAATAGCAGTGTGGTAAGGTCCGCAAGCAATGTAAGACACATGAATGCCCTCCAACGGAAAATTTACTCTTTTTGGGACCCAGTGACTTACTTCATTGCCATGTCCAAGAACACCAAAATCCCCTTTACCCCAGGTATACAAATCCCCTGATAGAGTAACTGCGCAACTATGGTATTCACCACATGCTACGAGTTCGATATTTGAGTTACCAAGTGCGTCAATGAGCTTTGGATGTTGAACATCAGAATCAACGCCATGGCCAAGCCTGCCCCCAGATTCCTCTCCCCAAGAGAAAATTTCTCCTTGCTTTGCCACAAGGACGGCATGCTGTCCACCACAAGCAATGTTCTGAACGTCAAGTACTATTGTAGATTCTAAAGATCTTGGTAATAAGGAATCCATTTTGACATCAGAGGAACTGCCAACTCTACGGTTTCCACCACCCAATACACCTTCCCCTATGCCTTCTCCCCAGATGAAAACATCTCCCAATGCATCCCCATCATCATGACCAGAACCATGGCTCGAGGAACTAACTGCACTTGACAGACTAACTCTAAAAGCATCCATACCCATGCCCTTCATGTGGCCATGCATGCTATCCGAGCCTCCAGATGACAACGAGTGAACTGAAACAGTCGCAGGGTCCGAGGGAAAAAATCCTTTTGGAGGAAGAGCATATAATGCCATATCTGAAAATGCTTTGTCAAGGCCATTCTTAGGCGGGCTCTCATATGGACTATGAAGACGGTGGTTAGAACCATCCTAAAAGTAAAAGTTAAATACTTAGTTAGAACATGCACCACAATTAGGCTGTAAATCATTATCAATAAGCTAGGCGGAAATTTCGATTTTGTCACCTTCTGAAAACCATCATTGCTACTAAATGGGGAATGCAAAGGAGAGCTACGTCGCGTGTAGGTTCTCGGGCTATTAGCTTCAGATGGTGTCCCATCACTTCTTGATTCTGTTCTCCATCTTCGTTGATGGCAACGCGAAATCAAGGCTTTCAGCCCACTAAACCACACCTCAGCCTCATCTTTATCCTTGCAGATCTACCAAATAAAATCCTAACACCAGATTAAAGAACTTCCTATAATGACACAGAAATTTTAGATAATAGGATGATCGTGTCAAAGCAGAACCAGAACAAAGAAAATAGAGTAAAAGAAGCACTATAAATCTCACCAAATCCAAAGACCTCTCATTATATATTAGTGAAAATGACTGATATTCCTTCTCGGGGCGCGGATACCTTTGAAAAATTGGCTGCACGAAAAGCAGCATAGCAAGAATTATCAGTACATCGCACTGCAAATGTAAGAACCAGGCTACAACTCTGACAATAAATGAAACCACACATGGAAATGTCATATGAGAGATGCAAGTGCACATGAGGAGTGATCCGCCTAACTGAAGTACGAAGGTGATAAGTAATCAGATACAGAATGAGAACAGACACTTAAGGATTTGGATCCATCTGTGGAAGAAACAACTTCAAAGAAAAGAACATAGCCAGATAAATGAATTTGGTGCAAAACACGCAGAAATATGGACAACCAGAAACAACATTTCACATCTTGTTACAAGGATAATCAGCCAAAATCCTGCGCACAGGAACAAGAAACCAGGAGAAGACACTTCTTGCACGGAAGAATAGAGATCCAATCCACCAAAGGCAGACCATGTCAAACTAGGTTAAGCAAGGTTACAGATCATATTATCCACAAACATAGAAACTTACAGTGCGTTGGCCAGATATGATTCTAGAAACATGGCTCAGCTTTAGATGTTTCTCCTCCTTCCCCGAGAACCATATCAATACAGTTTCATCCTGAGAGTAACATGGCAACTAATCTATCAGGCCCATTTAAGTAGTGGAAACAAAACAGATGCAAATAAAGTGCAGTACAGTATCACAAATAAACATCAGAATAAGTCACATTTAAGTATGGTAGAGCCGAAAACTCGTACCTAAGGCTAGGCAAACAAGAAAATCAACGGACATCTCTTCCAACCTACTTACATTAGAAAGGCGAAATGGACAGAACTTAGGCTTTCCCCGTCTTCCATACTTCAACAAGTAAGCTCCCTTTTTTAAGGCAGTGATGGCCTGCGTCAAATCAAAATTAATCCAAAACGTTAAGTAAAGTATGAATCTGTGCCAACGGCTAATTTTTCGCTCAGAAGAAGAATATAAGATAAAATAGTGAAGAAACAAATATAGGAAGCAGAGAGCGTAAGCAAGGGTCTATCCTGGCTACAAAACAGGGATGAACTGATAATCGCAAACATAAACTGAATAAATTAAACATCAGAACAATTACATCTAATAAAATGCCCAGCTATATGCTCGAAACTACAAATTAGACGGCAGAAATAAACTTTGTTATTAGGGAAGTCACCAGTCCGCAGAGTGAAACCTCGGTTAACCATCAAATGATCATAATCTGATAAGGATCTCGATTATTTCCTCAATAGGAAAAGCTTTTAGGGAATCAGACTCAATTTCTGATCATAATAGCTGAAATTAGAATCAGGACTCGGGTATTAACCAAAATCACAATTTGGAATCTAGAATTTGAAATCTAATTTTAGTTCTTAGGATTCGACAATGAAAACGATCATATCTTACCAAAAATATCAAAAGAAAACAATCTAATTCCATAACGGTCTTTCTATTAACAACTCAATAGAAGTAGTGACACATTCTCAACACGCCAATAATCAAAAGACTTAGATTAACTAAAACAAAATCGCCATGAACGAAGAACAAGAACAACCTGCTCGATGTCTCGCTCCACTGGACCAGTTCGGTTAAGATCCGACGCCATACTTCCGTTACTCTATATAAACAAAATTCCAAGCTAAGCTCCTCAGAACGAAACCACTTCATCCACCGAAAACCCAACGAAATCCACGCAACTCAACCTAAAATCTGAGAAATCGAAAGACATCCTACATTCACGGAATGCAGTCCTCATCAATATGATCTTCGATCTCGAAGAAATTCAAGAAAATTCCACTTCAATCTGAGAATCGAGAAACCAAGCGAAGCAACTTCTCCAGCTCGAGTAGAATCAAACCGATCGGAAAGCAGAAACGAGCCGTCGTTAGGCAGATAAATTCGAGAAAGCGTTGTTTGGATGCCAAGAAAACGTTAAGCAAACGCGAGAGAAAGTTAGGGAAAATGGGGAGGAAGAGAATCTAGCGACATGGCATGATCTACTACGCAGTTTTCTGGCTTCAGAGAAAGGGTAGAGAGAGAGAGACGGAAAGGAGGATTATCAATAGAAGGGAGACGAAAATCATAAAATTTCCATGTATTTCTATAAATTGTTATCAGAAGAAAGCCCTTAAATGTTATCTTAATTACAGAATTACCACTTGACGGTATAAATATTTCACCTCCAATTTGACTCTTGGTTTAAGGTTTCTAACGGTCAATTTAAATTTCACTGATCCAATCAAATCAAATTAAGAGATAAAAAATGTATTCCTTCATCGCTATGATATAAAATTACAGGAATAGTTAAAACTAGGGCTGACTTCGTATCAGATATTATACTATCGGGATATATCATGGACCGAACCAAAAAAATTTGATACCGTTTTTAAATCGAATCTTTTAAAGATTTCAAACGTTAATATTTATAAAATACCGAATATCTTAAAATCGAAGTGAATTCACTATTAAAAAACCTGGAAAAAAATATTAAGAAAATATAATTTTTTAAATAAAAAATCGAAATTGAACGCACCGAACATAATATAATATATTATTGGTACACATTTTTTCGAATAATATATCAATAACTCAAACAGTAGCAATATTTTCTAATATATAGAAATTTAAATTTTTTGTGTCAAAATTTTAATCAGTTGCAAATGACATGGTGGTGCTTGGATTTTCCAAGTGCAAGTCAGAGTCCAGTACCGGAGCCTGGACCCGTCATACCGTGGACGGGATTAACAATTATAACGGGTTTTTTTAATAAAAAGTTGATATTTAGAAGATATTTCGTGTAGTAATTTAGAATTGTAGAAATTATTGTATTTTGTGTATGTTTTTAGTGAAATTTATATATTCCTATGAGACTTTTTAAAAAATGAAGTTTTTTCAACGTCTATCATGTGAAGTTATAAGAATCTACTAGAAATGAACCGTAAATTTTGGTAAAACTTTTGTTATAAATTATTTAATCTGTATCGATAGAGAATGTGAAACGCTCCGAAATCGTTACCAAACGTTTGGATTGTTTTTACACACCAACACAAAATCTTTCACCGTGTTTTATCCTCATTCGCACAAATAACGAAAAATACTTATCAATAAATTACCCATCCTTAAATTGCTTCAAAAATGTTTAACTTTAGAGTTCTCTCATGATAGATAACCGAAAAAATAGGTGCATCTTGTTGGTATGAGTATATGAATCAATTCTTTTATTTTATTTTTTTTTGCACTCCAAAAACTAATTAAAAAACAGTTTAAAAGTGAAGGCTTGAAAATAATTTTCATATACACAAACCACGTGAGGTACATAGAAACTAGGTAGTTTTACTAAAGCACACGATATATGTAGTGGTAAATGAAGAAATCATATGGCATATGATGCAAGTGACGTGAAATTATTGGAGCCTACATGCAAAGATGTATCAAACAAATTAGGTAAATGGAGGTTTTCTAACGAAATTATCTTTGATTCTGGTAAAGGATTGCACATGATTGTTACATGGATTGGCAACAAGAACAATCAGATTTCTCTTTCATTCTATTGATAAATAATTTCAAAATATTTAAGAAAAAAATATTATTTTATAAAATATTTATTCGAATATTTATTTTATTGTTGAGTTTATAAAAAAAATACTTATAATTTCTATTATTTTATTAAAGAAACTAAAATTAAAAATTAGTGAAATCTAGGTATTTTTTAATTTCAATAGTCAAGTAATGTATTTTGAGTAGCTTATGAACACATAATAATTCAATAATTAATTAAAAAATACGATTACTCTAATAATAAGTGTTAACTGCATTACATGTAAAGAATAAGGTCATCAAAATTCTCCCATACCATATAATTTTAAAAAAAAATTACCTTCTGAAAAACTATTATATTCGAAACTCGATAGGATGCGAGTAAAATTGACGGGAATAATCGTAAAAAAATAGTTAAGTGTTTAATATATAAATAGAAAAGCTAAATCAATTATAAAATATCATAATATATAGAATTTTACTTTATTATAATGTAAATCTTCGTATTCTAGTACGTATCAAAAGAAGTACCACAAAATTGCACTACAACATGTGGACGAACGTTCAAACGCACGCATGCATGCAAAATACAAGTGCGACAAATTTGAATATATTGCGAAACTAATAAACTCTATCTATGAATGATTACTAAGTCAACTTACTATTGCTATTGTTTTTTTTTTTATGGATCATTATAATAATGATGATTGGTCATTATTAGTGTTGATTTTGAAAAAATTTCCCTCATAAAAAATTCAAATCTGATTTTGATGAGTCGGCTGATTACTAAAACTGAAATATTTACTAAGCTTTTATATTCTGATTTTCATTGATTTAATTAGATGATGAAAAATTCTTTCAGTAGGATATAATTTGGACAAAATCATTTACAGTATTTATTTTGTTTATATTGAAAATATATCTGAATTTTTTATATCTTTTTTAAATGTAATGACCGTTAGATGCTACATTTTTAAATGGTAAATGTTAATATAATAAAAGTTTATTTCATAGATAGAAATAAACTAAAGCATAGTAAAAATTATAAAATATGTTTTCTCATGTCAAGGTTGTTTTCTGTTATTAAAAGGATTAAATCATTCTTTTGTCTTTTTAATAAATTAAATTACGGAATATAACCCTCGTATATTTGTTTTGGATATATAGTGTTCATTCTTCAAATATTTTAACCTCAAATTCTCTTTTCACAATTTAGAAAAGTAAATCAGAAGCTAAAAAGAAACATCGATGTTTCATAAAAAAAATAAAAATAAAAGAAATATCGATGCTACGATTCACAACGCAAGCACTATGGATATGATTTATGTCACACGCACGAACGGAGGAGACAAATTTCCAAAATATCTGTTTCTTTACATATTATAGCAACAGGAATCATAGCGATGCCACGTGTTAGTAGTACACGAGACCAATATACTTTCTTTTTAAAACTATATAAATATTTATTTATTTATTTTGTATAAGAAAAAAGAATGGCTCCTTTTAAACATTTTATATATATTTGTTCGCAACTTATACAGGAGATTTACACCTTATATTTTCGTTTAGCTGCACTTCCACGTTTTTTGGGTTTAACTTTTATATTTTAAAAAATCATATTTATTTGAATTTAATTCTTTAAGTTTTTCAATGTAAGATGTTGCATTTCTAAATTTTAGTTTTTATTCAGATTTATTTTAATTAGATTAAATACAGATTTTTAAAAAAAAAATCAATTTTTCTAAAAAAAAATCAATTTTTCTATTATTTTTAAAATCAATTCGGTTTCAAATAATATTTGATTAAATTAGTTTAAAAATATGTATTTAACTAATTTTTAGATTACGTTTTTTAAAATATGTATGTATTTTATTGGGTTCAAATTAATTCGATTCATTTTTATATATAGAAGTTAAATGGGCATTCTTAATACTTGCCGGCTATTCTCTCCTCCAATATCCGTGAATGTGTGCTAAACTTGTCCATGCATTAAATCTGAATATTTATGTTATGTGGATATTAAGCAAATCTATTTTAAATTACGTGATAAAAAGCCAGCAGTTCCAAAAAATTAATTAATTGCAAGCAAACCTATTCACCTGCAGGTAGATATTATACTGAATTTAATAAAATTAACAATTCGAATCAATTATTTAATACCAATGTGCAGACGCCATTTACCTAATCTTCGTTATTTATGTGGTATTTGATCACCTAATGATTTTCCAATTTTATACTGTATTTTATATATGAAAATTATGAACTTTGGACCTGATTTCTTTTGTTGTCGGTAAACGTAAGGGGATCCATCGAATCTATAAGTTGATAGTTTAATTAAAATTAAAATTAAATAAGTCCCTAAGTCCCTTAATATAAATATATATATATATGGTGACATATTTATGTTTGTTCTTGATTAAAAAAATCAATAAACTGATCACGTCTTTATTTTTAATTTTTGAAGCAATTTCAAAATCTAAGAATTATATCTTTTTTTCTTGTTGAAAGTATTTTTAGATACACATATTTTCAGAAATCATAAAACAAACCTATATCCTTTACAAATGAAGATACTCTTTCTTTCAACACCGTATTATGCAATATTATTCTAAAATATAATCTTGTGAAAACCGTACAAATAAGAAAAATATATTTTTGTGTTTAATTTGATAAATATCCAAAATTTATTCACTACACAACATCAACGAGCAATATTTCGTCTATAATTCACACATACACCCGTCTAGATCCCCACAATTAAAGGTTTGCTTTTGACCAAAATAAAAAAGCTCTAAGAAAAAGGTGAGAAAACATAAGAGAAGATGGGTGCATGAACAAGATAAAGAAGAATAGCATACATACATACATACATGCATGCATGCATGCATGCACATGACCATCATGAAATGAATTCTCCCATCCCATGCCCCCAAAGTTGGCCAAGTTAGGGTTTCAAAAAGCAAACTTTTGTTCACCCAAAAGCTATTATGTCCCCTACACTTCACTTATGATCTTATTTTTTTTTCTTTGTGGGCCTTTAATTTACATCAAATGAAGAATTGGACCGAATTCCATTCTTTTTCTTGTATATTATTTAAATTAAGGAAAAATAATTTTTTTGGTTCGGCACACATAAAAAGCAAAAGCGAGGACAGATGTGATTTCTCAATGAAGAATAGAAGTTCTATCGTACATTCATTTATTGAGTTATTAATTTGGTATAACACGACGGCCCACATCTTCCCCTTTAATTTATTTTTTATATTATGTATTGAAAGTAATGAGGTGGTCAATGAAAATATTCGAAAAGAATTCCTTCTCGCCCGTGGATTGATTATTAGATCTCAATCAACTACGTCATGTCTTGTATAAATGAGTATTAGATAATTGTCTTAGTTCGGATATATAAAATTAAATAGAATAATATGTAATTGTATTGGAAATAAATCTAATCTAAAAATAATTAAACATAATTATATACTAAATTAAATCATTTGAATAGAATTAATATGATTAATATATTTTGAACATGATTATAAAACTAAATGAATATAGAACTATAAAACGTTTGAGAAAAGTAGTTTGAGAATTTAATATTTTTTTAATAAAGATATGATCATAATAAAACTAAAAACTAATAGAAACTATATATAAAATTAAAAAACAAGCTTAAATCCGTCCACGAAGTTAAATTATATGTCTAAATAAAACAAGAAACATTATATCTTTTCAAGAAGCGCGCGCCAAAACTCGTATAATATCTTTTAAATCCTAGTAATGTGCAGAATAAAATAACAATTCGTCAGTTAATCTATGT